TTGTTCATCCATACCCTAGGGTTAATACCCTCCAATATCCTGAAGGAAACTATCTTGGTTATAATTTTATGAACAGCAACACAACATGGGGTGGTAAGTGTTACGGACACTACACAAAGTTACTGGAATGGAATTTTCAAGCATTATTTACCTTAACACACAAATATTTTGCACTTCTTTGGGGAATTTCTTGGCCATTTGTGAAAAATTAAACAATTCACACTCACTTCAGTCCAGAATTAGATGCAGTATACACATCCGAGGTAACACCAGGTCAAATCTCATAAATGCCATTTTTTCAAAACCCGAAACTGTTTAAAAAGCTAACCAAACATTGGTAAATAGGACAAATTCCAAACTTTAGTACCATCTGTATACATATAAAAACAAATCAATTTGCTAGGAGGGCTCATTTCCTATAGGATGTTACGGACACTACATTTTATACATATAGTATACATGCTATTCTTTGATATTCCATTTGCTTCTTTTTTCTGCCATCATTGTCGTTGATGTATATCTTGAGGTCAACAGAGAGTATCTTTTCAAATCCGCCTTACCAAGTCTCTCGGATAGGACTTAAAGGGAGGTCCACCCTTTCAATAGAAGCATAAAAATCTGAAAAACAGAAAATATAATTGTTCTATGTAGTTCGAGGGGTGGCCCCACTTTGGGTAATTTTTTCTTCTTCTCCATCTTCTTTGTTCACTTTTAAACATTGAAAGAAGCCTAATTTAGTCATAAGAACATGAAAGAAGCATAGCTATTAAGACAATTAAGGAAGATAAAAGAAGACATAAAACGAAACATGATATAATGAAGGAAAGCATGAGGAAAGAAGGAAGAGAAGAATAAAAATGATAACAACTTAAGAAAAGACAAAGAAGAATAAAAAACAGGATAAGAATTAGAAATAAGGAAAAGGAAGAACAATAAAATTTAAAAAAGGAAGAAAAAAAAAAAAAGGATAATACAGTACATCATGTAGCGTAATCAAGGCATGGAAACCCTAGATATTTGAAAATACGAAAAGACGATGTACTTCATAATTTTGAGAAGTAACTCTGAAAATATTATTGTATCTCATAGGACCTTACAAGATTTGCCCAGAAAACAATATGTGTGGAAAAGAAAGTTCCCATGGTGTCCTCGTATCGGTTGTGCTGTAGGATATATTCAGTATTTTTAGAACCCATTTTTAGGAACTTGTTTAGATAGTGTTGGAAAATTTTGGGTCATAAAAAGACCACAGTCTGTACTTTGTGAAAAGTATTTCGACTAACTAAGTGATATACTTGTAAAACCTCAGACAGTCTACGTCGAAAAACAGGAACAAAGCATTAAAACAAAGGGAGAACTGATAATTAATCTATTTGCAAAATTATGGTTTAATCAATAATAATTTCTGATACGTTTATTCAATAATCCTCAGATGTTCGGTGAAACAATATTTTCCATAATTGTACTAGTTATTCCTTTTGTTATAATTGTACTATTTTTAATCTTTTATTCCGCCTTGAATTACAGATATCAACAATTGTGATCCAGATCCATGCATGAATGGAGGAATTTGTACAGATGGAATAAACGCTTTTACCTGTGATTGTGTTGCTGGTTATACCGACAGTACCTGCTTTACAGGTTAACTATACAAACATATTTTGATTCTGATTCCCTTTAAAAATGTATGCCTACTTGTCAACTATAAATAAATTCAATTCAATTTCAACTACAACGGTATCAATTTATATTGAATGTGCCAAAATCGAATAAGTGTCAAATATTGAGTACTTGTGTGATGTATTGTCATCGAGGAACCATGTACTTCGGAACCGAGTCAAAGAGCAAATACATGATTATTGTTCGAAACCTCGAGCAATGTACACAATTCATCACCAGGCAAGCTTAACAATTGCGAAGTTTCACAGACTGAGACAACTAATTAAAAAGTACGTGCCCTTGCGATTGTAATGCTTCCTGTTATCAAATAACAGAAATAATACTTGATATATTTTATTTTTATTTTTAAGACATCTTTAACATTAAGCTCATTATTTATTGCGCATTTATGGTAGCTAATTATTGAATGTCTTGAAGCAAGTGGAAATTATTTATTATGTAGTAAACAAAGATAATTGTGCATGTACGTTTTTGTCAACATCCAACCTGTTAATTAGCACAACAAATGACGAAATGAAAGCATTTTCTTTTTGGTAATTCGTAAAGTCTTTATTTTAAATTAGTATTTTTTCATTTTAACAGTTATTTGTTTGAAGGATAAATTCACGAAGGTTTACATATCAACTGCGGAATGTTATCAATACGATGTATCTACCATTATTGTTCCATATACTACTTTGGTTAGTATTGTACTATTGTTTAATCCGTTGTTTCGCCTTAAATTACAGATATCAACAATTGTGATCCAGATCCTTGCATGAATGGAGGAAATTGTACAGATGGAATAAACACCTTTACTTGTGATTGTGTTGCTGGTTATACCGACAGTACCTGCTCTTCAGGTTTACTTTAAAAACTTTTTTTAAAAATAAATATATTAATGTGATCTATATTTATTTGTCTCAATTTGTTTCTTTGTAAAATATTACAAAGGTATCAATTAGCGTCATATATTAAATACTTGTATGTAGATGTGTTGTGGTCAAGTGGATACGTCTCCTGATTGTCGATCACAAGGTTCGCGGTTCACAAGGTTCGCGGTTCTAATGTACTTTGGCAAGACATTGATCTACATTTGCCACACTCAACCCAGGTGATGGAAATGGGTTAAGCCCCAGTCCCATATAAAGCCGGACCAGCACGGACGAGCACGGACCACTCCGGACCATCCCAGACCATGGTCTGGGGTGATCCGGGATGGTCCGGGATGTTTTGTTTAAAAAATCTCAACCGCCGACCGTCTCCCCGGACCCAACACGGTACCACTACGGACCGCCCCGGACCATCCGGGCATAGCCCCGGCAGCAGTACAGATCATTCCAGACCCAGCACGGAGCCGCCACGGACCGTCCCGGACCACCCCGGTGCCAACACGGTGCCAACACGGATGACACCGGACCATCCCGGTGCCAACACGGATCATCCTGGAACGCCCTGGTGCTGGTCCAGGGTGATCCGTGTCGCCACCGTGCTGGGTCCGGGATCATCCGTAGGGGCGCCGGGGGGATCCGGGGTCAATAACTCACTCCCGGACTGCCACGGATCAACACGGACCGCCCCGGCGCCACTACGGATGACCCCGGACCCAGCACGGTGGCTACACGGATCACCCCGGATCAAACTATTGTCCCGGACCGTCCCGGACCACCCCGGCAGTTTTTGACCGTCAAAAACATCCGGGGTCGACTCCCGGACCGCCCAGGACCATCCAGGACCATCCAGGACCACCCCGGTGCCAACACGGTATCAACACGGACCGAATCCCAGATCACCCCGGATGGGTCCGGGATGGTCCGGGACGGTCCGGGACGTATATGGGACTGTAGCTTTACCTAGCAGGAATCAATTCCTTAAAATGCTAGAGCGTCGTAATGGCCGCCTTGCTATAGCAAGAGTAATAATCGGGCAGCGCTAGGAGCATCACGACGTGGCGGACATATGCGCTATATAAGAAGCCATTATTATTGTTATTATTATTATTATTATTATTATAGATTGAGAACACGGTACCATGTACTTTGGAGCCGACTCATTAAAGCAAATTCGTGGTTATTGTTCCAAACCCGAGCAATGTACATAATTTTATTACCGGGCAAGCATAACAAATGCAAAGTATCGCAGACTGAGACAACTGATAAAAAGTACGTGCCATTGCCATTGTAATGCTCCAGGTCATCAAATAACAAACATTATACTTGAGGATATGATTTTTAATTTTTTGGACAGACTGAATGTTATTATTATTTATATTATTATTGAAAAATATATCTGATTATTTCATTTTTCTTGTCTGTTTAACAGCATTTAATGCCTTAACAGCTACGATCATAATTTTGCTTATTGGGTTTGATTGGTTTTATACTTCGTAAAACAAGACAGACATGAACATAAATTAAAAATAACGAAAAAGGTGAAAAGCTCTATTCAAAGCATAATGGTTCTGTTCTATCAAGACTCTATCTATAGGCCTATGTGTAGTTTGCTTGTTAATGTAAGTTAAATTCAGAAGTGAATAACATTCAACCTACTACTCAAAGGAAAGAACTTGTGTTGACTCCAATGATAGCAGAGCCTCATGAAAGACATATATTAGAATGCGTGCTTTAATGAATTAGGACATTCCTGGATAATTTAAACATTGTGTATCATTCTTTTACACATTGTTATTGTGTGTATTTAGATAAGAAACGGAATTTAAAAGTAAGAAAAGTAATTGAACTCATGACACACCTCCCTGTATTTTTATTATGTTTAACAGCTTCCAGGATTATTGGTGGCTCCTTCAAGTTTACCCGGCTTAACGGTCGGGAGGTTATTTTCACGGATTCTCTTGATGATCCGAAGTCAGAAGCTTACCGCAATCTGGAAAACCTTTGTTACAAAATCGTAAGTTCAACAGTTTTTAGAGTGGAGCCTATATCATTACTGTGATTTAACGAGATTATGTCAAATTACCATTTTTCATTGTAATTGTAGTTGTAAAACAGTCACAATAGGAATACATAGAACAAAGGCAATGTTTTATGTCTTCTTTTAGCTTGGAGAACAGGAGAATATGTTATGATAATAAAGTCTTTATATAAAAAGTATTTAAATATTAAGCAAATTTTCGATAATCTCGCATAACCCGTCCTTGGTATTAATATTATATTCAATCTCTTCATGTCAGCTCCACGATGTTTTGATGAACATCGTAAGCGCACAAATTAATGAGTGGGATGTTGAAATTACTGGATTCTCGTCGGGCAGCGTCGTTGTCGATTTTGAGGTCACGGTCTTCGACTCCGATAGGGCTAACCTCAACGACGAAGCAGCAGCAGTTGAGATGTCCCTTGGACTTCAACAGCCAGGCGTTTGGCAAACTGCGGATGGCTCTGTAAGTCTCAACGTGGAATCCATAGTTGCTTTCGGTGAGTTTGAATCTGAATTGTGGTTATACTTCAGGTGTTATTCACAGTGTGGTAAGAGGCGTTATGTAATTTGTTCAAGCTTAGGTTGGTAGGTCTTCTCAAGACAGCTTAATCATAGATATCCTGCCTTATCTGACCTAGACCGAATCCATTTTTCTAAAAACCAAGGAATAAGAGGCCTGGGGGCGGGGGCGGGGGGGGGGAGCGTTGTTTTCATAGATTTTAAAACGCCACACTTTAATCGAATCGAATTGAAACAGCCCACTGGCATATCATAAACACAAGGGCAGAACATTCGCAGTTGCAAAACAGTGAAAAAACTGTTTGTGAGTGGTCGTAAATTTAGCCAATGATTGATGTCTTTTTCTTCCAATAGGTGAAATCTGCCTTACTAATCCATGTTCAAATGGGATGTGTGTTACGTCGCCCGGAGACATAGATTACAGATGCATTTGCCATTATGGATATACGGGACAATATTGTGAAACAGGTGAGCGACCATTAATTCCTCAAGCGCTTTCTTTAAAGAAAAATCCAACCTTAAGAGCAAATTGTTCTGAAAGAAAGAAGACAAATTAGAGAATTAGTTTGGTGAAAGTTTGAAAGTAGTCGAACAAACAATAAGAAAGTTGTGAATAATTGAAAATTGCAATCACTAAACATAAGGGGATTTCAAATCAGTGTTGCCACTTTGATATTGTTGTGGACAACTTTACAATTTGTTCCAACAAGCAAATTTACTAAATTCATCAAAATGTACTACTCGGGAGGGCCTTTTCTTTTTAAAAATGTGATGTCCATAATAGAAGGCGGTTAGCAGAAATAAAGAAATATAATTTTATCGATATCTATAAATATATTCATATATATATATTTATATATTTATATATTAATATACCAACTGTATGATATATATATATATATTCATTATTTGTCCGATTCATTCTTATTTTACGCCAATTTGTTTCTTTTACTTATTTGCTCTAATACAAATATTAAACTCATTACAAAGTTTGGATTGCCCTTAAAAACGGCAATTTTGATAATACTGCACAACTCATTTCATTTCACCAATCATCATTTTCATCAACTCCTTCACCTTCACCATCATCATTATCATCAGCTAGAGCGTCCGTATCTCTCTTATGGCCCTTTCATAAGCCTTCTGGTTTTCAGCATCCGTTTGGATAAGACCAAATGCTCTCATCTCTCCTTTGATTCATTTCATCAATAAGCAACATATTTACTTACACAACTCTCAGATCCCGGTTAAGGCCAATAGACCAATGGTATATTGTAAATCTAACATTGCTTCATTTTTCACTTTCCTTTTCAGAGGTAATTTGCCCCCTGCCTAATCAGCCCTATAGTCAAGTTGTAATGGCTCAAAGCGTCTACAGAGGAGGTGATTTTATCACTATACAGTGCGACGACAAAACGAAATCTGTTGTATGGCAATGCAACGGAACGTCTGGGAATTGGGTACAACTGGCAAACCTTGATTGCATACCAGGTAGTAAAGTTTTCCCATTTGCAAGTTAAATTGAACAAATAGAGAAAAGTTAACAAATAAAACAGTGAATGTTTCGTCCAAATCGGATGAAAATAAAAAAAGGCTCTAACACAAATAATGCCTAGGTCACATATAAACCGGGCCCCGTACGATTTTCCCTACCTGGCGACTTGCCATGGATTTACAGACCATACGGGACCCTTCCGATTTTCATTTCTCCGGCATGTGTGGTCACATATTATGCAGTGCAATGCAAGGCGCCCGTAAGAGTGCCGGCAGGGTGCCGGCCGGTAAGCTTACGGGCTCCGTCCAATGAGCAGGTGCACCCATGGCTCCCGGAAGGTACTCGGCCGGGGTCCTCAAGGCGCCCGGGCGGGTGCCGTGCGGTGCACTGAACTATGTGTCCTTTGACATCCGCACCTCCTGTATTAAAAGCTGCGTTATACATTTTTAGATGCCGCCGTGAGGGGCCCGCACGGGCAATAATCATTTCAAATGGCCCCCGGACGGCAGACGCCTGGTGTTGTGCATAATCACCCGGGGCACTTGAGGGGCCCTTGAGGAAGCCGTACGGTACACGTACGGTACCTTTGAGCACCGCAAGGCGCCCGTAAACATTTTTCATGAGAATTTACCTAACAAAATCGTGAGGTGCCCGTTCAGGCACTGTCCGGAGCCCGCACGGAAACCGTAAGGTGCCCTACGGGCCCTTCACGGGCTTTTTACGGCCTTACGGTCAGATAAAAATGCCGGGAGATTTGGGAGCATCCAACTCAGCACCACAGCTCCCGTACGGATTAAAATAACTGTCCCGGCGCCCGTACGAACTTTAAGGCAGCCGGCCGGACAGCGGCCGAAAATTCCCAAAATGTCTGTTTTTACTCGCCGTACGGGCTCCGGAGTGTATATGTGAAAGCCCCATAAGCCTGTTGATTTCGTAATCCCCTTACTCTTATCTATCCGTTTTGTACAAAATTTTAACACAAAATATCAAATTTCTTCATAGGAATATGAACAATTAATTTTTGAAAACCAACTCCATAATTTGTTTAATGTTTCTTCCGATTTTGATGAAACTATCACAGTTTTGTTTGTTTAATCTTTCTCATTTTATTGATTTCAACTTGCAAATGGATCGGAATTGCCATATCAATGGATTATATTTTGCTTTTAGCTTAAAACTTTGAATCTTTAACGGCTCTTACAGTCTTCGCAAGTATTTTAGTACACGTTTACGAGCATTTTTTTGTAATACTTTGAAGGTTGGAAACACCTATGCATCGGTATTACAAATAATCTCCATCTTGTCCTTGATGGATGTTTTGTCTCTTATGTGGTACTTATTATAAACCATGCAGCCTCTTCGTTGTGTTTCGGTTATGTTAAATCCACTGGAATTGTTTTTTTTAAGGAATATACAGGTTGTGTAAAGACTAGTGATACTTGTATGTTAACTAGTGCCTTTCATTATGAATTTTGTTAAGCCCATTTAATACGAAAGCTAGTGTTGTACATCTATATGAAGGGCAATACAAGTTTACTTATTTTATAGGGTGCGTTCATGCTCGATTTTGAAGGTAGAATGAGCGATCTGAAACGCTCATCGTAAACGCTCATCGTAATCGCAGTTCCACGGTGTACTGTTTATGCTCACTTCTCTGGCTCCTCCAGGCAAATCTGGCTGGGTGGCCTTGCAGCTGGATTCGCAAACCTGCACTTCGCATGCTACGTAGACCCACTAGAGGTCAGTGCGTTGACACCATTTAAACGCGTTTACAAATGATTGTGCGTTTATGCTTTTCAGAATCGCCGATCATAAACGCACCTTTTTGTGAGTTTACGATCGGCGATCGTGATCGCCGTTTTTCGGTGATTCTACACAAATGAGAAAGGACGCAAACGCGTAACAGATGCCTGATTCTGGCCAGAAATAGTTGAGCATAAACATACCCTAAGTGATTACAAGATTTTACGTCAGTCATAACCAAACGGACTCTCACCCGATTCCAAGCCGAATGCTTCTTTGACATTAGGTGTAATTTACTATTTTGTTTGCCCTGGCTGTTAAAATGGTATGGTATGGCTGCAGAAAGCAACGAATTGTCAGGTTGCCGTTTCAAACCCTGTGTCAGACCTTGCAATGTGGGAGCATTTGTTCCGGTCTCAGTGAGATACCGAAAATGCTCCACGACCGGAAAGCTTGGAGAAGGGCTTTTATATGCTAAATGAAGACGAAAACAAAGAGGAGGATGATGACGATGATGATAATGATGATGTTGTCGGTCTGGTGCGTCGCGTTAGTATGTCCGTTATGTATTATTTTGTACTATTTTATCCTTTGCAGAACCAGGAGATGTACCTTCGACTGGAGTTATCATTGGTATCGTGCTCGGAATATTGGTTGTAGTTATCCTATTTCTCTACACGTAAGTTTTCCTTATGGATACTAATCTTATCTAATTTAATTAGAAAGTAATATATTTCTTCAACATCTTCAACATACCACTAGTTTCATAGGGGAGTTTAGGCCATATATCTTTGGGGGTGGCATGAGGATTTTGATAGGGAATATGATAATGGTTATCTTGACTACTAAGTATCACAACATACGATCGTTTCTGCACTATTCCAATAAGAGCTGAGGGAAACCCCAGTGTAGTGTTCCGGGGCACAGTGGGCCAGGGAGGAACCAAAGTGCGCCAAAACTAAGTTTGGGTGAATTATTTTTTTCAATTTTTTTCTTGCCCAGTTGAAAGATAATACATAGAGGAATACCTCAGTGAAATATTTAATTCCGGTATGCACAATAAGGGTATAAATTTACTACTTCAAACAGCAAAATCCTACATATTTACAGTTTTAGTGCAAAAGTGACTTATTTTATAAATCTTTCAATTCAACATGAAGTTTTTGAGTTATTGATATTAAATTGCTCTCACATATTCCTGATAGTTCATTTCGTTGAATGAATGGGTTAAAAGTAATAGAAACACAATCTTCATGAGATATTATAGGGTAATTCACTGAAAAATGGACTAATTATCCATGTTTTTTATAAATCCAGAAGAAATGTTTAGATCTCCGCGGTGTACCGCTTAAATTTTAATACCACCATTTTTCTGATGTCTAAGCTTCAAGTTGATACCAAATTTGGCTGCCCGATCTTGCCCGTTGTTATGAATTTCGAAAATGTTCATGGTTGTAATCGCTATACGTACCTGAAGTATTGACACTTCCAATTGACTGAACCAGTTATTCCTTTGTGAGGTCGTGCCGAAAAACTTTCCCATGACTTAAATATCAATTTTTCAAAATGTGTCACTCAGGAAAGTCTTTTATTTTTAGAATACTTATATGATATGCTTTCCATAACATATGTTGGATAGTTCCCCAAGGGAGAAGTATCTTTCAACAAAGAAAATGATTGATATTTTTACACGACATAATTACATCACAATCCACTGAACAAATTGTCAATTTGATATTCTCAAAGGTGTAGTGATCTCATATTTCAAACATTCATGAATCTGTTATTATCGAATCGATTTATTTCAAGCTTTCGGCCTCTGTTTTCTCGGCTATTTTTCCGCTTAAATACAAATGGATTTAATACAAAATTTGAATTACCATTTGAATTTTCTTAGGATGGCTTACATAAAACGGCAAACAAACGTTGAACGCATAGTGCTGAGTGATCGTCGCATGTCCCAACTTTCGGGAATGGAAAACTAAGGCGGTGACTTTGTTCAATCAGAATTCGCGGGGGTCGTCCACAACAGGCACTTTGATAGGACCGGCACATTGCCAGCGCATCCGCTCGGGGTGGAAAGGCCCAAAAGGAAGGTCAATAATATGTACTTTTGATTTGATTTTGATTTATTGGTTTCTGCATCTTTTTTCTTTTTTCATCATACATTTTCATGAACATAATATTGTTTGATACAATATTTTAAGTGTATATAATTTTATACAGATACTAAACGAATTTAAACAAATATATTGAATGTATAATTAACATACATTAGATGCAGGAGGGCTACAGAAATAAGCAAAGTAGCTTGACGTGCCCGCAGCCCTCAACTTAGATACAACAACAATAACAAATACAAATAGAAAAGACTGACTTGAAGAGAAGAAAAGGAAAGGGGAGAGAAGGAGCGTTGGTAATAATACAATAAATCTCGTACATCTGCTGATTTAATGCAGGTTCATTCATGACTTAGAGATGAACATAAATGGCTGGTCTATTATTCAAAAACGTCTGCAAGGAAAATTTGTCTGCTTGCACAAACCGAAAGTTTATGCTTCTTTTTACACAATCAATACATACGTTTTTTGACCATTCACTGTCATTTTGAATAACACTGTTTTTGTTAATATTTGTTAAGACAAAGTCGGATTTTTTTCTTTCTCACTCCAATCCTAAATAATTACCAGCTGAGGGTGGCGGAGGGGGTCTGAATAGGCAAAATCCCCTCCTAATTTGGAGGGAACTCCAATATGCTGAGGTAAATAATATAATTGTGAAAGTCAGAGAGATCTGTCCACCTGGGGAGGTGTGGGGGCGGGGGAGAGATAGAGAGAGAGAGAGAGAGACAGACAGACAGACAACATATGTCAATGCACCTAATATATATCTGGGTTCCGCGAGTGCCATACAATGAACAACGTCGGCAGCTCCCTTTCTCCTGGCATTAGCGGATATTGTGAAAAATAACACAAATTAAATAAAAATCCACCTTTAGATTGGAGCGGGAAGGAAATAGAGGAGGGGGTGAAAGATAATGAGAGGGACACACATCAAAACAGACAGACTGACAGATTTATGAATTTTCTGATGCACAATTTGAATGTAGCTATTTCATAACATGGTTCCTATGTAAAAGCCTTATCAAGCAAGTTGTATCAGATATTTTTTTTCTTCTTCACAAAAGCCGTTATATTTCATATTTATATA